TACAGGCTCATTATGTTTTGATTGAAGAGTAACCGTCTTAGCGCTAAAGAACTACAATATTTTTTGAAATGGCAACATCAGTTTGGAATTAGGCTGATGATACACGGGGCAAATACTTAAGCAATTTTGCCGGGGCAACTTTTTTGAGCAATGTTGCTTGGGCACTTTCCCATTGAGAATAGGTAACACATTTCTATCTGGATATTTTAGATCGGTCGTGGGCTCTGTGTCTCACCTGGTTGCCCGTTGACTGCAACGTTGCTCTAAAAGTTGCCCAGTCTATCATCAGCCTTACTTTCTTTATTGAAAGTTCGAAATTGTATAGAAATGTATATACAATTTACTAATATGTATCCTACTTTTAAGGTACCAATATTCAACCCTTTAGGTTACAAAAGTGTAGCTTTTGAAAAGGTACCACCCCAGTGACAGCTTTTGTACCCTTTATTTCCGAGTGTACACTCTTAAAAAAACGCACAAGTAAAAATAGGGCACAATGTACTGTATAATTTAAAGGATTATTATTATTTTTTACAGGTGTTTTACCAGCATTTAGAATTTTAAACCTTGTTTTAGAGTCAACGGAAATGTCCATAAAATTGAAATGGATAATGTGTAAGTAGCTGCCAGTGCTTTTTCTGTTATCTTATGGATTTGTTTTTTTACAGCATAATTAAGGTTTTAATTTTGGATAACTTTGCAATGATCTATAATATGAAAAATGCAGAATTCTTAGTATGAAAGAAAAAGATGGCATTTGCTAAATACTAAAACTGACAACTGTTTGATTTCATGTTTGCTACAAACAGGCTGAAATCTATTAACCTTCTTTGGAAGTGTTCTGGATTGAGTTTTTTTTTTTCAAAATCACTTTAATTTGCTTGACATTCGTGTTTTCACAGACTGAAGACGCTAACATGGCTGGACACCGAGAGTTAGCGATGAGTAGCTCCAGATCGGCGTTGATCCTGAACAATGTGGCTCTCTGCCTCGGCCTCGCGCTCATCACGACAGGCACTATCCTCTTACTTTATGTGTATGACGTAATTTAATGAACAGATGTTATATTCTGCATCGAATGAATCTACTCTTATTGTAACTCATCAATAACTTTGTGGAAGAAATGACAATTAGCCTATTTTCAAGGCTCTTTAAGAAAAAAAAATGTATGATTATGTTTTATTGCTTGCTGTATTTAATGCTGTTAGACTAATCTGTGAACTGTATGATTATCTGTGCATTTTACATCTACAGTAGCAGTTATGAAATTAAAGTACATGTATCTTTATACCAATATTTTAAATTTGACATCAAAATAAGGCATTTGAATAAAATTGCAGCATATCTTTCTTTTACCAAAAGCAGCAGAGCCTATAATGTTATTTCAGGAAAAGAAACAGCTGAGCATTTTATGGTTGGAGAGGAATATGAATTAGTGTTGAAATGCTGAGTTTTACCGTACATTTCTGCCATATGTACATCAATTTGACAGTCACCACTGACAAGCTACTACCAAATATATTCTCGAAACTTAATTTTCTTTAAAGCTGCTTTGCAACGATTGTGAAAAGCGCTATACAAATAAACTCGAATTGAACTGAATTGAAATGTGCAGCACATTTATGAACGATTTAATGACAGTCTTATCTAATCTTATTTGACTACACTCCTAGAAGACAAACCAATGCAACACATTTATTTTTTTTTGACTGTGGGATGACTGTGGCATTTGACTGGGATGAAATAAAGTTTATAACCAAGGAAACTCTTCGACCTTTATCCTTATAGTGTGTTTCTGAGGTGTGTCTACAGATGAACACTTCACTGCACTCATAAGGCTTTTATTTGCTTTGCATGGCACTGTGTGAGCCGCCTAACAATTTTACATCTTGTCTCTGACGAGAAAGACATTTTCACCTTTATCAGGGTAAATTCAAGTAAATTGGGCGACTTTTCAGTTTGTCAAAAAGAAAACTGATGATCAAAATGAATCAGAGCAGATACTTGAAAGAATAAAGCTTTCAAAAACCAGCATGTAGCCTATAGAAACAAATGCTTTTTATGTACTATACAAGAATACTCTTGTTGTTGTGATGTTCACTAGGGGGCAACAATGTCATGTGACATACAGTATCCTCTGCAAAAGATTTACGGTGCAGTTTACTGTGTAGCCTGAAGTAAACACAAGTGTACTCAGATGCATCGCACCAATCCACCAGTGTCTGGTCATTTTCATACACAGTGTCATTCTGAAGAAAAGACATCTAGTTTACATGAGTCTATTAAAAAACTGGTTGTTTACCTGTCTGTTTTTTTCTTTTCCTTTAGGTCTTCTCAGGTTTTGTTGTTTTTTTCTTTCTGTTTAAACAAAAAAGAAAACAAAAAGTGACATAAGAGCAGTTATGAAGGTATAAATCTCGCAGGCAAAAAAGTCGATTGTCTATTGTCAATAGTGCAGCAATGTATGAAGCAGACAGTTCACACAAAATGTATTGTTTTATTTATCACGATAAGACAGATCAGAACTGCCAACAGTAACACTTTAGAATAATGGTCTGTTGTTAAGAAGTAACTATGCAGGAAGTAATAGGTAGTACTACATTAACACTTAACTTAATACTATTAACTAATCGAGAAGCCAGATTAACTAAGCAGTAAGTTGTAGCAAATTTAGGACAAAGGTAGTTCCTTATTAGATATTTGATAATTACTAAAAATATATATCCTCATTGAGAACTACTTGTGAACTATGACCAGTTAATAAAGAATAACCAATTAATTACTAATCACAGCAGTAACGTCTTAAAAGTGAACATTTGTTTTTTTTGTGGAAACTAATTTATGAATATAATATCCCCCAAATAAGTCGGCTACAGGTTGAAATTGTAACTACTAGGCCTACTCTTACCAAAGGATGGATGTTCTCTGTTTATTTCAAACAAAAACATATAATAATAATAAAAGTAATTCATTTAAAAATGTTAATAATTAGGAAGTGATTGAATTAGTTCACAATTATGAGCTCTAGTGTGTGTCAGTTCAGTATGTCTCCAAAAGACCTGTACCTTTAGTGACAGCAGGCTGGGGAGGACTTTTCTTGAATATAAATAATGATTTTCTCTTGACAAAAACAATTCACGTCCTTAATGAAGGCATCGACTGCATTTATATTGTGTTCAGCACAAAACCGCATATTCCAGATTACAGCGTCTGGTGAAATATCACTAGTGCCTCACACAAATGTATGTGTCAGATATAAAATATGTTAACTATTACTGAGTGGTTAAGGTGTTTTTCACTTTAAACTAATGGTCCAGATCACTAGTAGTTCCTGCAGGCTGACAAGGTAACGCTTGAGTAATTAGTGAGAAGCTAATGTATTTTTCACTTTAAAGCTAAAGTGCTACTAAGGAACTACTGGTGATCTGGACCATTATTTTAAAGTGAAAAACACCTTAACCACTCAGTAATTACTCACAAGTAAATTAATAAGTTATTTAACATATTTTATATCTGACATACTGTACAGTCATACATTTGTGTGAAGCACTAGTGGTATTTTACCAGTAGGTTTTTTGGAGTGGGATACATTGATACATATTGAACTGACACGAAGCAGAGATCATAATTGTGAACTAATTCAACCATGAGCTTGTCAGCATCACTTCTTAATTATTAACATTTTTAAGAGTATTTTAATTTTTATTATTATTCTATGTTTAAGTTTGAACATCCGTCCTTTGGTAAGAGTAGTAGTCACAATTTTAAAATGTAGCCGACTTATTTGGGGGATATCATATTCATAAATTAGTTTCCACAAAGAAAAATTGTTCACTTTTAAGACGTTACTGTTGTGATAAGTAATTAATTCTTTATTAACTGGTCATAGCTCACAAGTAGTTAGTTCTCAATGAGGATATATATTTTTAGTAATTATCAAATATCTAATAAGGAACTACCTTTGTCCTAAATTTGCTACAACTTACTGCTTAGTTAATCTTGCTTCTCGATTAGTTAATAGTATTAAGTTAAGTGTTAATGTAGTACTACCTATTACTTCCTGCATAGTTACTTCTTAACAACAGACCATTATTCTAAAGTGTTACCACACGAAGCGAAGTGGGGGAGAAATAGGGGGCGGGATCAAGAAAGGTCCTTGAGTCAGGATTCGAACTCGGGACACCCTTATTGCCACTCGTCGGGGGAGGCAGGGGAGGCTGAGCTCTCGTGCCTCCGTAGGTAAAAAAAATTAGCTAATAACCATCGAGTGTTCACTTTCAGTGCTGAAGAGTGTTGAGAAAAGAAACACTGTAGGGGAGGCTAGCTTCCCTTCTGATATCAACCAATCATCAAAGAGGCGTAAATTACGTGATATTAGTTTGAACGTCTCCCGCTGCGCTGATAATGTACCAAGTACTTATGAGTAGCGATATTGAATATTTGATTGCCAGCTGATTTACCAAGCTGTCTTTCAAACAGTATATATACAAATTTAGGGAAAACAGCTTAAGCTGGATATAAGCTACAGCAGTCGGCTTAATTAAATGGCGCAACAGGCAGCTCTCTTAACACAGACTTTTAAGAAGGGATGGATGTTTGCTTTAAGCGCTAGGCCAGGTAAGTGAAATTATATTATCTTGCTGTATGCATGTCGTTTTCTTTACGTTTTCTAAAAGCAACCAAAAAGCCATTTTAAAGTGGTTAAGCAAATAATAATAATCAGCAGGGATCCCAGACCAATACAATTAGTGTGCCTCCTCTATTTTAAAACCTGTATGTTGAAAGCACTGCCCACAAAGCTATCGACGCCGACACAACATTCTTTTAAAACCAGTTTTCTGTTAGTCATCAACGGATTTGTGTGACCAACTAAACCGAGTGAAATCTGCAGTGAAATTCCCAATAGCGTGGATTTCATATGAAAATGAGTGAATTTCACCCGTGAAAATTCGCAGTTGAGTTGAACACGAAGAGATGTAAAGAAGAACCAGATCACAGACTCACATCACCCACAGAGCAGCACAAACCAGCAGAAGAACGACAGGAATCAGGAGCGACGACAGCGTTATGATTCCAGCGCTCTCATACGCCACATCTGGAGACATAAATAATCAATCAGATATGCACAATGACACAGATCAAGCGTTTTTCTCATGTTTTACTCACAGGTGACATCGAGGATCGTCTCGGCCGACGGGAACGTTTCAAAGTGTTCCAGTGCACACGAATATCGGCCTGAATCCTCACGGCTCACCGCAGAAACATGCAGCTGATCACCGGAATTATAGAGATCCAAACGAAGCCCGTTCTTGAACCAGATAAAGGTTTGTTTTGGAGGACAGCTGGTCTTACAGGTCAGTGTGATGTTCTGACCTTCAGTCACACGATCAGAGCCCACAGACACCTGAAGATCTAATACAACACACACATCTGTCTCTATATGTCAGATTTATCTCTCTCTGAAAATGAATCGGGGTAGAGTAATATTTACCTGTGACATGCACAGTGAAGTCTGATCGACTATTCGAGGTAAAGATGATGTCTCCTTCTCTGTAACTGAAGCTCATGTAATATGTGCCAGCGTCTGTCTCTTTTAGACCATGAATTAGTAGGTAACACCTTGGAAACTCTTTAATATATCTGTACCGGGAGTCCTTGCTGGGATCTGCTAGAGTTTCAGTATTATTTATTCTGTGTTTCCATGACTGAAATATCCTTCCAGGATATAAACAATTGGACCCCAGAGCCACAGTTGATCCTGCAGGAGCACAAACTGATCCAGAGAGAAAAATCACAATATCGTTCTGACCAAATACACCTGAAACACAAATCAGAATGGGAGTCAGAAAGTGTATGAATGTTTGAAAATGTACAATTTCCAGATCATAATTTTCTGCCAAATGCATATTAAGTCACAGTTTTGTAGCACTGAAGGTTTTTACAAGAGCACAATAAAGACTAACACACGATTGACTGAATGAGTCCTACCTTTCAGATACAGCAGATATAACACCATGAGAGAATATTTGGGGTTCATGGCAGATTCACTCAGTATTATGAATTAATACGGTTTGGTGTTTGCTTGTAAAATGTCTGGAATGATTCCTTGACGTGGAAGCGAACGTTTCCTCAAGAAGACTGAAGACTGGTTATAAATAATGAGGAACTGACAGGAAAACCCACATAAACACAAATGAGGAAAGTCTGACGTTTGTAGCTTCTGTTATGATGAGTCTTTTTCTCCACACAAACCTTAAAATGTCTATTAATATCAAAGTCAAAATAACAATTTCCGCATTCTCATAAAATAAAAATGAGTAATAAACTTCATTTGTAGCATGTGAGAGAAACAAATGACAAGTGAAGTAGCATCAATCAGTCAACGGAGTCTGTGAATTTATGGGTTTATTCTCGCAAAAAAACTGATCATTTTGTTCCGAGATGATTTGGTTACTTCTTATATTTTAAGAGATCTGCAAAATATATTTATTTACATAAGATCTGAATAAGAACATATATGCAGATATAAAATTCTTACGATTTTTAACACAAACGTAAAGGTATTGATTGAATAATTGATGCATCAAAACACCATGAAAGAAATGTTCCTCATCTTCAGACACAACAGATCAGAAATCAGATTAATTTAGGCCTACATATCGGAAAATAAAATATATTATTACTAAAGAAATAAAAGATAATGAAAGGTCTATTTTAAATGGCAAGAACAGGGTCAAATAAAAATGAATAAACATA